TTATATTCAAATGAAATGGAAACTATGGGACATATGGTGGACCGTTTTCAATGTTAATCGATGACTATGCTTTCCTGAAATAGAATGCATATGGAATATTGATAGAGGATTGTGATATGACATATGCAGTGAAATCAGACCTACTGTCTATATATGACATGGACGAACTACGGCCAGCGGGCGAAACTAGGCCCTTTGGATAATTCAATCGGGTCCGTCTGATGCTGCCACGATCAAACTAAAACCCCAAATTTCGATGTTTTAGCTAAAAAATAACCCGAGTAATTTGTTGAGATTACGATTGAATTTAGTTACGGCACGAGGCTCATTTTCCTCTTTTGCTTTTGTAACACTGTAAATATTGTTTTCATAAAATGTAACTTTTTACGTCACATGTACATAGACCGCCAGTCATGGTGGGCAAAACTGGTCCAAAAACCCTACCAACCCCTGGTCTATATGGCAACCCAATAACCCTAGCCAACGATCCAATGACGATTGAACAAATGTGGTGCTTTTTATGCTTATGGAGGGAGGAAAAAAGTGTGACAAAATAGGCAAAAGATGAATTTAACGAAAAAGATTGGGACATCTGTCGTGTTCCTAACTTTCGTCTATATGGCAGCCAAATAACCCTCTATGGAAGAGGCCGTATAAATAGAGATTGGGGCCATATATGCATCCCTATTCCTCATACCATGCTGTCTTTATGGCAGCCCAATAGCACTGTATAAAAGAGGCCATTCAAACAGCAATTGGGGCTATATATCCATTCCTATTCCTAACCTGCTGTCTATATGGCAGCCTAATAGCCTTCTACAGAGGAGCCATTCAAATGACGATTGGGCATTGAAATCAAATTTACTGTCCATTGCAGCGATTCCCAAATAAGGGCACGTGGCCGCCCAAAGGGGCCAAAAGCAAATTGAAGGGCCACAATGCCAGGCGCGAAACTGATTTTACTTTCTTTTTGCATGAAAACTCCCAATTCTTCCTAGTTTCATTGCTTTATAAGGGTATTTTCCATGATGTTTTCACTTTGTTGAGCATGTATTGTTTAGACATAATGGGATTTGGAATTTACCAATCAAAATGGCAATATAAATAACACTATTCTATCCAATTAAAGAGTCCAGCTGCACACTAACACAAATGTATTTCTGTAACGTTTCGTCTGACCAGAGTCAGAAGTCTGGACTCTTTAATTGGACAGAATAGTCATGTTTATTCCAGCTAAAGCATCCTTGCAGTATACGCATGCGGGTCCACTAGCACAGGGGTTCTCAACCTTTTTTCTGTTAAGTACCCCCCCCCCCCCCCCCCCCCCACGAAACACGAGTCACGAAACAATCAACGCGAACCCCCAGTAATCAGTCACCAAACAAAATTGTGATATATTGACCGACAATTTGTTGCAACGACAATTTATTGACCAACTGCTGTAACTAAATTAAATCTTCATGTCAATGTTTTTGCCTTTCTCCTCCACCTTACTAATGAATTCTTGAAATCTTTTTTAAGTTTTAATTAGAATATCACTTTATGCAATACTTGCAGCACATTATCTTTTGAGATTTCACAGTTTGGCTGAAAAGCCGTGCATTTCACATTGTTGCGTCAAAATCACAACAACGCTAGATCAGGGAAAATGTACGCTTAGTTTCAATTGGCACATATTTTCCTCTTGTTGTTACTTTCTTTGTTATTAAAGGATATTAAAAAAAGCAACACACGAAAACTAGACTGTCATCCAAGTACTCCTGGAAATCGTCTCGTGAACCCCAGGGGGTTCGCAAACCCCAGGTTGAGAACCCCTGAGCTAGACAGACCAGATAACATTGGTTTACAAGAATCTTGAAAGTCTAAAAAGCGTTTCAAGATACGAAATATTTTACAGAATCCCCCCCTAGATGAGACCCTATTAAAAATACTCACCCGAATTGCCACCTAGTAATGGCTGATTGGCAAAATGTCCGATGAGAGATTCCAACGATTCAAACTCGGTAATTCCATGTTTATCTGGTAGTCACTTAGTTTTACTTTGTTGAAGGATATTGTAGAAATAAAAAAATAAAAAAACTGCCATCCAAGTACCCCTGGAAATCTTCTCGTGAACCCCTGAGAGTTTGCGAACCCCAGTTTGAGAACCCCGGCACTAGCATGAAGGCATAGGGAAAAGATAGGATGTTAGTCTCGCGCGACCCAACTCAAATAAATAACACTGAGACGATAAACATGGGGCGCATGAGTGCCAAAGCGTCTAGTAAGGAGCCACAGCTCATAGAAAGGTTGTGAACTATTGATCTACTGTCTTCGATTTATTCCTCTAGTGCTCCAGAAGTATGCGCACCAAGATGTCGTACAACCTGAATCCTAACTGGTACACACATACTGTGGTCAGGTTGTGCGCCATCTTGGTGCGCATACTTCTGGAGGTCCATTCCTCTTTCACTATGCATAAATGTTACTTTTTTCCCTTAAATTTTCAACGAATCCTTAGTTAGGAATAAGGGCATGTACCACTCTAACTTATGTACAGTTTGAATTGCTTATAATACGCTCATGAATATGTATTACGATAATACTATATAACTTAAAAAAAATACCAACAAGGATAACAACAACAACATAACTAGATAGCGATCGGAGACCGCCGACTTATAGATCTGCGGTTTCGATTCCTTCGCTCTGTCTCAATAGCAAAACCGCGTGTCCCATCTCTAATTAATTGATAACTCGCTAATTATACGACATACTTCGTTAAAAATCATTAGACTTCTGGTCCGAGATATCTTGAATGCGCATAAAATTTGGAGCAGATTCGACCTCGCTTTCGTGAGAAATCACGTAAAATACGAAAACAAACAGGCAAATACCTATCAACATACTTACCGATCGAGATCGATAAGTAAAAACTAAACGATCCATAAGTCCACTAAGCATCCAAAAAGTATTTTATTATTCATTCCTTAGTGCAACATATGAATGTAATTGCTCATTTCTCGTTGCGTGTGTATATCGCATGCCAAATCTCACAACTCAATTTAATTTTAATGTCTACTGTTCTAAAAATATATATTTTTGAGCGTAGTATGCTTTCAATTACATTGACGTATTATGAAGTGTTCACGGCACGTCTCGTTATATTTGTATATTCCAGATGCCACGAGGCATGACTCCTTTCATATGTCACGATGAAGTGTCATGATACGAAATGTTTTCTCGGCGTCCTAAAGATGTTTTTGAAATGTGCTCGATTTAAATAAGTCTGTACGGGCACTAAATTTTGCTTCTTCTTTTTTAAATTGCGTTAAAAGTAATGACCGATTCTGAATTGCGTGCACTCTTTTGCGTGTTTGTTTTATTTTTGATGGGTGGGCACGTACTTCTACGTTTTTTAACTTTATTTTATAAACTATGCTCGCCTTCCAAGTATCTCTGCCTTTTGTTTGTCTGTTTACTTTTTGTGTTGTTTATGTCTGAAAACCGAAACGAAATGATTGATTGATCAAATATCTTACGCGCTGACCCCTGTGTATCACTTACTGCTGGGGTATGGTCTTATCAGAAAAAAGCATTTTAAGGAATTTTTATTTTTGATATTATAAAAATAAAATAAAGCAATGTTACCACAATCGTTCAGAAGTATGCGTACCAATATGAAGGTAACTAATTTTGTTCGCCCATTCTACAATAAGTTGTGTAAAAAGATTGAAACCTATGGGTATATTCACTTTGCTAACACAAACAGTACCCGAACTCGTAATAGAACTAAAATGGGGCTCCCGAAGTTTGCGAACCAAGATGGCGGACATCGGAACGTAACATGGGTAACAGGTTAGGGTTAGGCGATAATTTATTTCCAATTTTCCTTATTTTAGTCCTATTATCAGTTCGAAGACTAGCCAAGAGCCTCCCGTAGTATTTATACCTAAAATTATGGCCTAACCCTAACCTAGTACACATATTACATTGCGATGTCCGCCATCTTGGTTCGCATACTTCGGGAGCACCACTAAAATAAACAAAATCCGCATAAAATTGCGGCCTAACCCTGACCTGGTACACACACTATGAGAGTACCTAAAATTGTAGTTATGTATAACGCACTAGCAAGCGCTCATTCATATAAATTAGAGAATCATCTCAGAGCAAAATTATGATGGGTCTTTTAAATAACAAATTGAGTATACCCTGCATTTCATGGACAGCAAATATATTAATTAAAGGGATTACTTCAGCCACCACCTTTTCTCTGTACTATCGTTTCTTAGATTGTGTTCCGCGAAACACTGCTGTGCCTCGATCTTCTTCGTAGTGTTCCGCGGGTCAGCGACCTAAATAGGTTGCCATAGCAATCTTGGCCATACTCCGACAACTCTGGGTCGTAAATTTGTAACAAACAGGCGGCCAGGCTTGCTATTTGAACGGGCTGACAGACAGACCTCATGCCAATCTGAAAAGCATGGCGTTTTCGTTAATCGTTTCAATATCGTTAACCGTCAGTCTAATCTTTTAATTGTCAAGTTTACAGCAAACTTTTTAACTTCACCATAAGCTATTTTTTTTCAAAACCACCCTTCTCAATGGATTGTTAGCTCAGAACGGGAAGTCTCAAAATATGTCGTGATAAGCCGGTTGTGCAAATTGATGCAAAATGTAAATTCATTACATGATTTTCTTATTATCAATTTTACGTTCTAATTTATTGGTGTTTCGCGAGGCGATGTAAAAAGCGTGGATGTTCGGGACAAAGTTTGAAAAACGTTGCTCTAAACAATATTAAATTCATCCTGGTTCTCCTGACTCAGTGACCCGATTACCCACTCACTCCCTCACACAAAGAGAATCATCTCGACCAAATTAGTGGAAAATTGAAATGACAGAATGAGTTTACTCTACTTTTCTCTGTGCAACATTTGAATTTATCTTCCGTGTACTCAGCACCCCAACTTTTTCCCACTAAAATCCCCCTCCCTAATAAAAGTAAAAACAAAAGCTTTGACTCCGACATTTTTATTTACATTAATAAAGAAAAAATCCATCGCAGCAGATGAGCAGCTGATCGTGCAGCCATTACTGTCAGAAGAATGTAATGTAGATAATCAAGCTCGTTTAGTTATATCGTCATCAATTTATGACGTCAGAGTAAACCATGACGTCATAAGCTACATGAATATTTGTTGAGGACTCGGTTTGTGTTAGATTCGACATAAGTGATATCGGAACATTGTTATTTTTCCTCTATGATTTCATAGTGATTCTGATTTAGTAATATACGTCATAAATTATATGACGTCATCAAAACCAATGCTAATTAACTAAATATTAAACGATTCCAAATCATCTATAAGAGTCCATTGTATTATTTCACCATCTCAAGAATTTTGAATTATCGTCAGTTATTACGTCACTGGTGACGTCACTGGATGATTATGTAGTTCTTGATCACTTGGAAGTATGACTTCCGAAAGTATTCATTGCAAATTAAAAAAGTATTACTGCATAAAAGTGTTTTAACAACAGCAACATTTATTGCATTTATGTTAACGAGAAAAGCGGTTAATTTTACTGGTCTTTATTAAGAGTAAAATAAGGCACTGGGGGCGTGGATTGGGTGTGGCTCTGAATTATGAAAAAACTCTTGAATTAGCAATTTCGCAAATCAACAAAACAAATTGATTTTGTATTTCCAATCTATGTTTCTATTAAAAAAAATGCTTTGAAGTCATTTTTCCGACAAATAATTTATGTCCAAAGTGATTTCAGCATTTCCCGCCGCAGAAATTCTGTTCAAAATGTTATTGTTTATGTCATAAGGCACAAAAATTGGAACATGTTAGCTACATATAAGAAAAAATAAATTTACTTAATAAAAGGAGAATAAAAGTTTTCAAGTTTCTGATCAAAATATGACGTCATCATAATTTTTGATCAATATATATGACGTCATCGCACATTTGACGTCATCGTAATTGCGGATCACTACATGACGTCATTATGATCTCAAACGAATGTATGATGTCATCATGTCGTCTGATGAATATATGACGTCATCAAATGGTTTTGTTTTACGAGTTTATTAAGGCGAGATGGCGTCATGTTTGATGACGTAATTAGTATTTCGAAAAACTTTCTCGATAATTAAATTTATAATCTTAAAAATGCAATGTCGTGATTATTAAGGATTGATGACGTCATATTCATTACGTCATATTCACGAGCATTTTTAAAATTATAGTGTTTTAAAATAAAATTACAAAATAATTATAAAATATGAAATATAATATCGGTAAAAGCACTTTCATGTTAAAAAATCGAGATTTATTTCAGTTTGGACGAAAAATGTAAAAAGTATCATCGCGGACGTTTACTGGAATTGTCTGAACAAATAATTTTGAACTTAAATGTTTCATTTAATGCTGAATGAATCTGATATATAATTTCAACCATTCTAAAATTTACGGTAAGAAGCGTTTAGATATAAACAGTTTTTTCCACTTTTAAATTTTGAAAACAAGAATAGGATTTTCTACTGGAATATTATTACGTCACAAACTTTCCAAATCACGAGAAAATGTTACATCACAAACCTCCAAAGCAAAATAAAATTCAAGAAAATAAATTTTAATAGAAAAAGCACCATTTCATAAATTGGTCAGCAACAATAATAAAAGCATTGTGACGCCATCAAAAATATGACCTCATCGAAATTTTGAAGGCAAAAATCAATTGTCGCATTTTATCGATTATTACATCATTCCCACGTAGCAGTAAATATATACGTCACAATGTCCAAAGCTCACATATCTGTGATAACACAATGCTAATTGTTGCTTCATAAGTATATTTATTTATATCTCGCGTCTTCATTGACCCGGAACAGTCACGTGATAAGTTTGAAGTGAAGGAACCATGTATATAATGCACCATTGGCTTAAATCCGGGCAATCAAGTAATGTATGCTTAGTCGGGCGCAATTCGGTCTAAGCAGGTTCATTCTGTGGCACTTTAGGGTAATCCCCCTCCTTATATGTTAGGTAATTCAAGCGATAGTAAGTCTTCAATGCTGAAATCTAAGTCCTGTTCTTCCTTTTTAATATTAACGACATTTTGTTGGTTACCCAGACTGGGTTGTTGGGGGAAGTTCATTGCCATACCTGTGTACCCCATTCGCGGGACATTTTGACCCATGTTTGGCCCCATTTGTTGGTTAATTCCCGGCCCCATTTCAGGAACAGTTTTATTCACTGGCTGGTTAGGAATTTGTTTAAATACGAAACCTTTATGTCCCATATTCGGGACATTTTCTCTGAATTGGGGGTTACTTTGCATATCTGGATGGGTCAGTGTCGAGTTCTGGCCCCCCATCATGTTTTGAGGGTTCATTGACTGCTGACCCTGTAAATAAAAGAATATTTTTAATTTATTGTTGCAAAAATAAAGAGATCAATCATTTTTGATTCAAACGATTCAGTGACATTGTAGAACACATAAAAAACAATTCCATGACGCTCACATCAAGATGGCGCACAACCTGAACGTAATATGTGTACCAGGTTACAGTTATCAGGTTGTGCGCCATCTTGGTGCACATACTACTGGAGCGCCAATTTTTGAATTGAATAAATGTAATAAATAGCTTTCTGGTGACAACGACAATCCTTAACCAGTGAAAAATTTTAAGCAATTGGTCTAGTAATTAAAGAGAAAAGCGATTTTTCTTAACAAGTCATGACACCATCAAGTCACTCACTAATCTCATGCACGACATAAACTGGTATCCGGACGAGAGGCCGTGGTTCGTCCTATGTTTACGCCGTCTTATCGGCTTTCCTTTACCTCGGGATAAATAAGTAAATATCTGTCTGTATGTGAAGAATCACATTATTTTGTTCAAATAATGCTTGAACTGACTTTTATAAAGTCGCGTAACGAAGGCGTCAATTATTAAAAACAAAATTGCATAAGGACTCGGTAAAATGACGTAGAATCAAATCCGAGTTTCAAATCGGATCTGAGTCTTGTCTTATCCCTGTCAATTGATAGAACAAAGGCGGTTCCTGATTTTTTTTTTCATAGTTAAAACATCAAAATTTGGTTTTAGTTTGGTTGTGACAGCATCAGGCGGGCCAGATTGATTTACCTAACGGGCGAGATTTGGCCCCCGGGTCGTAATTTGCTCATGTCAGTTATAGAAAGATAAGTTACCATATATGCTGTATCAAATTGGCCGTTCTGTGTTCCTGTAGCCTGGTCATATTGGCAGCTGTTGTATTGATCGAATTCTGAAATTGAAAACGTTTAACATTTAGTATGTAGTGATAGAAGTCACTTTTTCATATGTGAAACCCGGAAGAAGGTCAGGAAATGGAATTAGGACAGTTTACTGTTATACTCAGTATATTTATATTAAAGTACCATTTTGAACCACGAATATCGATAGAAAAGAGAATTTTCATCAAAATTACCTTTTCTACTTTTAGTTATGCTTGCGACCTTATTTTTAACCTTCTCAAAAACAACATTTCAGGAAAGTTTTTTTTTTCAAATTTGTCTCAAAGGACAGGAAAGCCTATAAGACGATTTAATCATATGTTGAACCACGACCTCTTGCCAAGTTACCAGTCGGATATGAGAATAGAAAAGGTGTCTAGGAATACTTACGTCCGCCCATAGCTGGTGTGTTCGGAGGGACGCGATGAATCCCATTTCCCCTCCCCGCTCCCGTTTCTGGCATGTTTCCTGTTGCTATGGCGAGGGCGTCCGTCGGGTTATTCTGAACGTACTTTTGGATGACACCTAGCGGATTTAACGTCTGAAATAAAATAAAAATAATTATAATAGGGCATAACCCAGGATGTGAAAATGTGGAAATAGTTTCACAAATTCCGGGTAAAGTGATCTTTCGCTATTCTACGGATGGCTGATTTTAATAGGATGATATTATTCTAACTCTGGATCGGAGTATTCTGGAAATAGCAGCATTTTACTATTTCCGGGTAAGTGCACCCTTTTGTTGTTTTGTCGGTCACCGATTTTAGTATTACTTGATCTCAACCCGACCCAGGAAGAGAAACTGTGGAACAGAAAGCATTTCAATTTTTCCGAGTGAATGTAATTTTTCGCTGTTTTGCGGGTAGCCGATTTTAATTTGCCACGTCGTGAACCGGAAAGTGATTATGTGGAATTAAGGGCGCTCCCGTAGTATGTGCACCAAGATGGCGCACAACCTGATAGCCCTGCCTGGTACACATAATATGTTCAGGTTGTGCGCCATTATCAGGTTGTTGCCATCTTGTTGCATATACTACGGGAGCACTAAAATAAGATTAAAATAGAAAATCAACCTGGTACTCGGCAGCAATCCTGTCCATATCAAACTGAATCGTCGTTTCCTGGCATTCCAAGCTAATTTCAAATTGATCCGTGTTCTCTTTAAGATTATTTGGCCCGATCATTGACAGCATCTCCTGCATTTCGCGTTCTTTTTGTGCGTCCGCTGTTTGGGAAATAGTGGAGCTGATTTCTAGTGCGTTAAGGATTGAAACGTTTTCTTTAGGTACTGACGTAGTGTGCCTATGATAGTTCTGTATTCCGTTGTAATGATTAGGGGTTTGCACTTGATCCACGAGGCTTTGAGTGGACGAATACGACGTTTGTTGCTGATGCTGATTTTGAGGGTACTGCTGTTTTTGCTGTAACTGCTGCACAGGCCTAGGCTGCTGCGGAATTTGATGGTTAGCCTGAGGGTAGATGTTATGCTGTTGAGCCTGTGGCTGGAACTGCTGCTGATTATGATTTCCGTTCTGTACAGTATGCGGCTGTTCTGCTGTCTGTCTCAGGCTTGTAGCCTGCTGCTGATTGTAGCCTTGCTGCTGATTGTAGGCTTGCTGATTTGGAGTGTGGTGCATTTGAGGAACTCCCGCTCCGTTGGGAACCATTCCTTGTTGGGGCATTTGGGGTCTCATTAGCTGCTGCGGGATGGCTTGCTGCTGATTTTGAGCCTGAGCCCAACCCCTGGACTGCATTCCAGCCTGTTGTGATTCTTGAGCGTACTGACGATTTGAAAATTCAGCATTCGGGTTATAGGCTGCAGGCTGAGCTTGGTGAGAGTTAAATCCTGTCTTGGGGATGTCAAATTCGGAAATGGGGGGATGGTGCAAGGGGGGAGGTTCCGTTTGAGGGGCTTCCCCTTCGTAAAGCGACTCAAGCACTCTGTTGTAGGCTGGTGAGAACTGCCAATCGGTGTCGGAGTATCCACTGTCTCCGTTCCCGCTATTGGGAGTTCCCATTTTGTTATTTGCATTATTTGGGCTGTAACTATCTGTCGAATAGTTAGGCGAAGCGGTAGAATCTACTGCACTATCAGCTTTCAGGTAGCCCAGATCACTTCCAGAGCTGTACGCATTCATCTCTGATTTAACTATGCCCGGGGGTTCGTTGTACTGCGCGCTGATAGGCGAATCGATGGATTTTATAATCGGGAGACCTTCGGGGTAATTTTCCATGGTTTGAAAAGATTGGGCACCCCATAAAGTAGCAGGGTCGATCTCAGCCTGGCGAACTCCATTCGACATTCTTTGCCTCTTAGCTCCTGAACTTGGGATGTTTGGTTTTGCCTCTGGAGGAGAGCCGTACGAACGGTTGCTGTTGGATGGTGGGGGTCCTCCGCCGATTGGATTCACTGATGCGTATAATGACGCATGCCCGGTGAAATCGAATCGGAAAGCGAGGCTCCGTTTTTTAAGATGCTCTTCGCCTTCTTGTTCGCTGTAAACAAAAGAAATATATGAACAAATTTTTTTTAAATAAACGTTCCGTGTTATTTCCAGGAGAAGAGAAGGAGATAAGATTCTGAAGACAACAAGACTACTACCGTGCTATTCCGAAAATAAGACCTAGCCTCAAAATGATTTAAACGTGTTGTTTATAAGTAAATGAATATCGGTTTTCATATTTTGTATATTTAAAAATCTTGTCATTCTTACTTTGTAGTCTTATTTTTGATAAATAAAAATAAAAGACATCCCCCAAAATAAAGTCTTATTCTTTGAAAGAAAATTGACATAGAGCCCTGTCTTATTTTCGGGAAAAGACGGTATAGGCTGGTTGACATTTATCAGCGAATATCATGGCGAGTCTCCAAGTCAATGAATCGAATCCTCTTACACAGTGCATTTAAGGCTGGACATATCGAATCGAATAGTAAATTATTCGAATCGTTTCAGACGAAAATTTCGAATCGTCGCCATCTTGTTTTTTTCGATCGAGAATAATCGAAATTGATCCGTCATTACTTATCGATCTTAAGATCGGTAAGTATATTGATAGGTATTTGTATGTATGTCTGTCTGTGTGTCTGTCTGTCTGTGTGTGTGTCTGTTAGATGAACGCGATATCTCACGAACGCGTGGTTGAATCTGCTCCAAATATTGCATGTGCATGCATCTTACCTCGGACCAGTAGCCTATAGATTTTGGGTTAATTATGTCGTATAATTAGCGAGTTATTAACTAATTACCGATCTAAGATCGATAAGTCTTCGGTCTCCGACCGATATTCTCGTTTTTTTTTTGTTGAAGTTATGTTTTTTCAACGCAATTCTGGCATATGAATTATTTTTGTAGTGAGCTATCTATGAAACGTGTTTCTTATTGTGTGTAAACACTCAGCAAACTGTATGAGTGGTGGATTCTATGATTTCAGTAATGTAGGAATCTGGAAGACTAGTTACAATAAAAATGGCGCATACAATTACCAAGTATTCGAGATTCGATTCGATTCTGAAATCATCAGGTATTCAAAAATGCTCAGCCCTATCTGCATTAACTAACTACTTAATTATTCAACTTACGTGATCGGCCTATGAGTTGATATAATGCAGTCCGGTATTCCTTTGGCATAGACAAGTCTAGCAGATGCCGTTACCCACTGCCATCGGTTAGCTCGATGAAGGAGACGAAACACTGTCAAACCACTCTGACCTTTTCTCATCACTAAAAAAATGAGTCGATGAAAAATGAAAAAAAGGTTATTGATGACGCCATAATTATATCGTACGACGTCCCTGACGTCAATTTTAACGTACTGGATAATTTCTGTACTTCTGGGTGAAATGACACTTTACTTACTGAAATTTGAGAAAAGGCTTCAATGAAGTTGTGAGCATTTTTTTTTGGGAGGGGGGGGGGGAGTTCGGTCACAATTCATGGTATGTTTTTATAGAGTTTTTACGCCTCCGGTTCGATTAAAGGCCCAGTAGAAGCATAAAAATGTAGAACTTTTTAATTGTGGAATTTAAAACCGTAACAGCGGGCTGGTCGAAGAGTGTGGAGGGCGGAAATATACAAAAAAAAATGCTATGATATGATACAAAAAAGTTTTTTTTTTACATTTAAATTAAAAACTGCATTATTTACTGATTCAGATTTATTTGCTGCTTCGTATTTAAAAAATATTCAACGTTTTATAATGAAGAGTGGAACGATGACCGTCCTTTTGAAATGTAAAAAGGCATTTTGCTGTTGCTGTATGATAGCAAATACGGTTTTATCGGTAGTTAGTATAACTTACATTTCGTGTGGGCATCAGCGCAGTGCATCATGTCTGCTGAGTGTATGAACTGGTATCCCGATTGTTGCCTCAGTTCCTTCTCTGTGTAGCCAAGAACAATGCGGCCCCTGGAAGTTTAAAAAGGTAGGAATAGGATTTAAAACTCATCCATTGTGGTGATAGGTCAAAGGGGGTAGTTTTGTGAAATTCACCCTCTCCCCAAATCCTACTCGCTCCCCAATTCCACCTATCCCCCTCCCTTCGGGGCGAGGGGGTTTGCAGTTAATTAAATTCACTCTTTTGCTGTTTCCCGGACAGTACTGATCGGGATTTTTTCAAGTCTTCCATCGATTGTTACCTAGTTGCATCTCTATTGCAAGTATTAACCTATATATGAGAAGCTCCCAACCGGGGGCATGTGGCCCTTCACGGGGGCCACAGAATAATAATAGGGGTACCACAATGCTGAGCTGCCCCTTCAGAAAACTCCCTATTCTTCCTAGTTACAATGCCTGATGAAGGTTGTTGAGTATTAATTGTTTGAACATAATGGGATTTGGAATCTACCAATCAAAATAACACTGTAATGATAAATAGGGAGGCCATGTGTGCCGAAAGCCTTCCCAAGGAGGCCTAGAAGATTGGGAACTTTGCCTTGAGTCGCTCAGTATATTCGCACCCCAGATATTTTCTGGGTCGTGTTGCCTAGGATTGTTACTTATCGATCTTAAGATCGGTAAGTATGTTGATAGGTATTTGTATGTCTGTTAGATGAACGCGATATCTCAAGAAGACGAGGTTAAATCTGCTTCAAATTTTGCATGTGCATTCATCATATCTCGGACCAGGAGCCTATTGATTTTGGATGAATTATGTATAATTAGCGAGTTATTAAATAATTAGTGATGAGACACGCGGTGTCACTATAGTGTCATGATTCGTCAAACCGCAGTTTCGATCGATAAGTCTTCGGTCTCCGACCGATATTCTCATTTTAAGCTTAGTTCTAACCTCTATTTACTGACATTTGTGTCACACGAAAAAATATATGTGATGCCCACTATTCTAACAATACCCTTCCTACTTCTATTGGAGAGCATGAGAACTTGCTTTGATATAGAAAAATTCGAAAATACCACACTTGAACATACGTCACAAATGTCGTCATGACAATAAATGACGTCAGTATGACTACAACCAATATTCAAACTTACTTTTGATCAATTCCCAATGGAGTGTAGTCTAGTTTATGTTTCGTTCGAAAAATGTAGTTTTTTGTCCGTATTTCTAATATTGAGGGGGTGTGAAGGGGGGATGCCAGTAAAAAAAGACCCAGTTCTGGTGGCAGCAAAGTCCCGTTTTCGCTTCGACGGTTTTGTCCAGGAACGAGAGCCAAATGTCCAGTAAAATGTAGGGCCTGTGAGAGAGATTAAAAATGGGTTTAGTTAAATATAGGAATTTCGGCGCTCCCGAAGTATGTGCACCAAGATGGCGCACAACCTGAACCTTAATCTGGTACACATACTATGTTTAGGTTGCGCCCTCTCGGTGCACATTCTTTCGGAGCTCCGGAATTTCAATGTTTATTCCAGTGGTAGAGAAGTCATTGCGACGGTCAAGTCATATTGAGAACTAGGAGTGACAAACACAGGCGTAACCAGGATGGGGAGGCGCCTTAGTATTACGTCACTAAACAAAACAAAAATGATATTACGGAATTGCAATCTAGGAAATACTCACAAGAAATCCTGATGAAGTGTCGTGAAGGCATCTCAAACGGCAAATGAATGAACGATGAAGTAAGCCATCTCCTGACCATTCTGAAAGATTGAAAGATTTTTGTTTGATTTTTATCAACTTTTCCGGATAGGTTACTTTTTGTATAGCGATTGTAGGGGTGTGGAGAAAGCAATTTGAATGGCCATATATCCATCAATATCATCCTTTAACTTGATTAGCGCCTTTTGCGATGTGAACGTTATAGTGTACCCTCAGTTTTTGGTACATATTTTCTACCGTATGCCTACTTTGACCATTTGCTTAAACGTTTATATCTATTCCACCGGTTCTCAACCAGTGGGCCATGGCCCACTTCTGGGCCACAGAAACATTTTCAGGCGGGCACAAACAAAAAATCGCTAATTATTGTCAAATTATTTAAACTTTGATTGTAGTAGCAGTGAATGATGATGCTGTGTTTACTACTGAGTGGTAATTACTTATCGATCTTTAGATCGGTAAGTATATTGATAGGTATTTGTATGTATGTCTGTCTGTGTGTGTGTCTGTTAGATGGACGCGATATCTCGCGAACGCGTGGTTGAATCTGCTCCAAATTTTGCATGTGCATGCATCTTACCTCGGACCAGAAGCCTATAGATTTTGGGTTAATTATGTCGTATAATTAGCGAGTTATTAACTAATTACCGATCTAAGATCGATAAGTCTTCGGTCTCCGACCGATATTCTCGTTTTCATTTTAGTCATTAAAGTGGAAGTGTATATTTTGCATGGAAAAGTTAATGAAGGACACAATTTTTTGTGCAACAAAAGTAGGCCATGAAAAAAGTAAAAAGGTTGGTATATCCTAACCTAGAGCATGTAATATCTATACACAGTGGTGAGATTCAAATTTTTTGTCAGCCGGTTCTGTTACAAAAAGTCATGTTTTTTTCAGTAATGCTAACCAGTCTGCTGATCACATAAAATTCCGTGAAACGGTTCTATGGAACCGGTGCGAACCGGCTGAATCCCACTACTGTCTATATATAATAAATTGGTACATCGGGACTTGTTCTCCCCGCTCTTAAATGGTGATATTAGGGAACACTGTTCTAGCAAAACGCCAGTTTTTGTATCAGGATGTAGCTTTACAATTTTGAACTCCCCCAAAGAAAAATATTACAAGATATTGTCTATTGACTAGGCTAGAGAGTTAGCAACGCAGTTGAAGATGCCTAACACCTTACCCAGAGTCTAATATATTGAGTAAGCAATGCTTAACTAAAATACTCCAATTTTTCCATAAACGGTAACTTATTTCCTATCAGTGGAATCCCATACAGGATATCATGATATCACTTTTAAATATTAAATATTTTCCCCATATTGAAATATGACAAGATTTGGCCATTGACTAGGTTAGAGAGATGGCATTGCAGTTCAGAGATGCCTAACTGAAATAGCCTTATTCTGAGCGAGAGCCGTGATAAGCGTCACTAAAAAATATACCTTTCACCATCTCTGGGGAAAGCCCATGCTTTACGTAATCAGGTATGGCAGGCGGATCGCCTTCTTCGGGCGGGTTGTCGACTATTTCTTCCATTGGGTTGATTAACATTTGCTTCATAAATTGCTTACGATCATCAGCGTGAATTAGATCTAGCATTGACTGGTACATCACGTCGCTCTGTGAAAAGTGAAAAATTCGTCACCGTTAGATGGCGCCAGTGGGATTTGCAAATAGCGCAAAATATGGGCGTGGTTTGGTTAGTTATTACACAATTAGTAACTCTCTTCACACACTCAGGCTGTTTGAGTAAAGTCCAACTCAGATCTATTGAAAACGCATCCATTTTTTAGTTTCGGCTGAGAATTTTTGCGTAAACGTGAAGTCGTATAAATCATTATACAAAATTTATTTTAATAGTAAATTTCTTTTTTACTTTATAAGTTCTCTGTAGTTGTGCGAGTGTGTGCGAAATAATTTATTAATTTTAGGTGAGTGAACACGTACCACTTCTTACTGGCAAAACCTTTCATCTTATATTCTGTATGTTTTAAACCTTATCTATGGTTTTGTTTGCTCTCCTGATTTCATATTCAGTTTTTTTTATTTGTTTTTATCAATCATTTTATTGTCTGTCATTTTTTAGATAAATACGAAGTATACGTCACAGATGATGTCGTAAGAATATATTATGACGTCAGAATAATGGCGGGGTGTAGTTTTTATTGAAAAATGGATACCTAACATGTGGAAATACTTCTACTCTCATCATCTCATTTTTTTCAATAAATACGAACACTGTGTTACAGGTGACGTCATGGCAACACATGACGTCAGAATACCGGTGGAAATGAACGAAAAAACAAAAGGTCTTGCCTGGGGGAATCCGAGACAATCTTGTACATTGTAAGTGATGTAGAGAACGTTGAAGTCCTGGGTGACGACCATGATGAATCCGTCAAGAGCCTGGGTGAGAAAAATAGAAGATATACCAATTATGGTATGAATGTTTTGCCAAGCATTGATTTCCTTGTTTACTTCCGCAACAATTACAAATCAGTAATAGGGTCAACAATGACGTAACAATTGGAATTTATGCCGCCACTCAAACGCTTCTTTCGATCAAACAGATATTCAAGCATGGTTGCACATTGCCTCTTTTTGGCAGTTTGCATTTTATTTGTCAGTTTTGAGTTGTGTTTAGTTTGCGCCAACTCTCAAAATCAACGTTGAAAATTTGCAACGATGAGATATAGGGAGAATCTTTCGGGGGTCAAGGATCGAGGAAACGTCCATACACCTCAATAGAGTTGGGCCGGAATGTGTTAGTTTCCACTTTTAAATATAGGTAATTTTTTAAGGCGTTTTTACGCTTTCACTTTCAAAGGTAGTAGTTTTTTACGTATCAACGTGTTCATTGTTCGAAAAAAGGCGTCTAAACCTGGTAAAAATGGAATTATTGAAAAAAATAGGGGGAGAAAAGGGAAAAAAAGTGAAATGGGCGATTGAAGACGGGATTTTCACAACAAATAAGACCCTTGGCATGGCTGGGACGTCAACAAAGGCTATAAGAGGAAAATGGTATCATTCTGAGGAAAGATGGCGTTTCAACATGAAATAGCGGAATATATACATACATATATGACTTTTTTTTTTAAATAGTAATAGCTGATAAATATGAGTATAATTCAATATTTTTTTTAATAGTAAATACTTGTAACGCGAGTTCAGACTCCGATAATTCAACAGCCGGATTTGGTTGACTCCGGTTAACCGATAGCAGAGCTTTGCTTTCTGGTTTTTCTTCGACGTCGACATCTGAAAAAGAATAAATGTCGAGTTAGTATTAGAGATGAACCGATACCACCTTTTCGCCGATACCGATACCAACGAAAAAGGCCGATACCGATACCGAAATGGCGATATTTCAAAAAACGGGCATTCCGATACGGATATCATGTAATTAATACTTCAAGTGAGCAGGGCAGGCGGATAAAAACAATAATCCGTGATCTTTATTCATACTGCACAATAATGTATTAACTCGAGACTTTATAATATAATTTTATCTTAGAGGGAGGAAAAGAAAACCGATAAGAAGACGGCCATTGATGATAAGTCTGAATTTTAAAACGGTAGATAACGTGGCCCTTAGCTATCAATGACATTAGAATCTAATGATATCATAAATAGCAATATTACGTCATAATACGAAATAGACGACACAGCCTTGAAATATGATGACGACTGAGGACCGTCAAAAATGAAGCTACAATTTGAAATAATGACGATGATCATATAATCAGTAATTGCCCTCGTTCAAATAGGAGGAGTTAATTAGGTTATTAATGCATAGTTCATTGTAGAGTTAGTTCGATACACTGGTTCATAAAGGAAGGATATAAAATGGCGCTCCAGAAGTGTGTACCAATATTGAGGTAGCTAATTTTGTTCGACTATTTCACTTCAAGTTGTGTAAAGATACTGAAACCGATGGACACGGGGTATATTCACTTGGCTAACACAGACAGTCCCCGAACTCGTAATAGAACTAAAATAAGAAAAATCGGAATAAAATGATGGCCTAATCATAACTTGGTACACATATAAAATAATATAATGCATCGCGGCTCACTAATTTCATTTCAACGTATTTATAACAACTTTACGAAGCTCGCGGCACAATTATCACTATTTTTCATTCAGACTAAATTCTTTACATAAAAAAACGCACTTCATTGGCTGTACAGTCTAGCTGTTTGTATTGCGACGCCAATTTAATGGTCTTTACGAGGGGTGACATCCAAATGCTCCATGATACCATATATCCATTTGCTATATAATTCCGAATGTTATGACTTTACAATTTTAAACTATGTCCTGTATTTTATATATAATTTTCGTAATTTTGTGACTGATTTTCATACTGCTCGACATGCGAATAACTTGTAGTTATACCTTGTACAATGAATACCTAATGCGTTTGCAATCGAGCGTTTTATTATCTCATAATAACAAAACCAAACGTGGCTTTGTTCTATCATAAATCAACTTTAGCCACGTCAACGTAACATAAACAATCTTCAGACAAGACGTCGTAAAAACAAAATTTATTTTAAAACGAAAGATTTAAAATAGAAAAACGGCGCAGACTTCCGTTCTGTCTAGATAGGTAAACGTCTGGGTTTTGAAACCCAAAAAATTGGTTGTTTAGACGCACGTTGGCCTTTAGGGATAGCCATAAGAATTTTTCATGGTGGATAATATGCTCTTTTTGACTTGTCTTTTTTTTAAAGGTGCAGTGTCGTGTTGAGGAGGCCATGAGCTTGCTTGGCTATGTTACTAACTCGCCATTTTTGGGTTTGTCTATTTCAAAGAAGGTTATGATAAATTAGTTGGCATCCTTTTACTGCCCCATCACCAATTTTCTGACCTATTTTCTTTAATGATGTATTTTTTCAGGCATTTGGTAGCTCTTTGAGATCGTCATATGCTTGCCAGGCTAAATTGCCCTACCCAGGGACGTAGCCAGTAATTTTCAAGAGGCGGGGGGGGGGGGGGGGGACTGAAATTTATATTTGCCAAGTTAGGCAACAGCTAGCGAGGAAAACTATACCCAAATAAATATCCTGAAAAAGCCGAATCGGTAAATTTATTGGTAAAGACGCATAGGCGGATGTACGAACAAGTTAAAAAAATGCCGCCAAATTATATTCAAACCACCTCGTTAAACGAGTGAACATACTATTGATGCTCGATTTTGACAAAGCAGACTCCTTCGAACCGAGAAGTACAGACAGACTATGAGATTGCCGCCAAACTATGCCCAAATAAATGCTCTGGAAGGGTTGAATTGTTAAATTGATTGGTGGAGTCGAATAGGCGGACTCCTTCGAATCAACACGTACGAACAAGTTAAAAAAAATGCCGCTAAATTATATTCAAACTAGCTCGTTAAACGAGTGAACATACTATTTATGCTCGATTTTGACAAGGCAGACTCCTTCGAACCGAGAGGTACAGACAGACTATGAGATTGCCGCCAAACTATGCGCATATAAATGCTCTGGAAGGGATGAATTGTTAAATTGATTGGTGGAGTCGAATAGGCGAACTCCCTCGAATCAACACGTACAAACACGATTTTGATAAGGCAGACACCTTTGAACCGAGAAGTAAAGACAGAGTATGAGATTGCCGTCAAACTATGCGCAAATAAATGATCTGGAAAAGGTGGATGGTAAAAATACCCGACTCTAGTTACACCGACCGTTCCAGCCGCCCAAGACAAACCAAACTCTTCCGTAAATGAAGGAAATAGTCAAAACCGAACCGAATTTTTAGAATTCCCGAATAAAGCTGAATATGTAACCTTATTTTAACCCCATCCAACCGATGGCTTCCGCTATTTTCAGAAATAGTTTTCCTGACGAAAGTTCGACCCGGCTCCCTCTAATCCGACCTCAGACAAAATTCACAAAGGTAACAGGCGAATTATAAAATTTGCCGCTAAATTATGTTCAAATAAGTGTATTCCATGGATAAACCATAGTATATATACTCGAATCTAGCAAGGCGGACTCCTTCGAACCAACATGTACAAACAAGTTGAAAAATTGCCGCCAAATTATACTCATGCAAGTGCGATAAGTGGGTAATACATACTATTTATACTAGGTTTTGGCAAGGCGGACTCCGTCGAGCCGACACGTTGCCGATTTGGTTGACCAGAATCGCTGGAGCGTGTTAATATCGCGTGCGAAGGTTTTCGAGAGAGGGATCCATTCACTTTTATCCTTCGTCGAGTTTTCATTTCTTTATTTTAATTCGTTAACCCAGGGTAGAGTAAACACACAACCCTCCGGAATTATATAAAAGAAACTAAAACCTGCGCATAATAAAGATACGAACATTTGGACTTCTGAAGGTGAGACAGGTAAGAGTAGCGAGACCATGGCACGCGAGGCTGTCAGATAGCGATCGTATAATTTATCTTCGAACAGTTATGGCCCGTCAATACCTAGAACATTTTTGTTTGGGATATGTACATTTTAAGCCTGGCCGAAGAAAATTCGAAACTTGCCGTTTCTGGTAGAAAGTTTTATTCGCTGGCAAAATATACCGATCTTTCCCACACGATACACGCAACCTTTTGGGGGTGAAAAATTATTCATTTCATGTGGGATTCTGAAACCTGTCGACAGACATAGTGAACTTGACAGTGTTTAATAACTGGGGACCCCAAATGTAGGGAATTCCCCCTCCATCTCACGTTTCAAAGATTGGAAGGAACAATTTTTGGGCACGCCAAATAAAATAGTACGGCTACAAATTTTACTCAATTCTAGCAAGGCGGACTCCTTCGAACTGACACCACCTACAGGCAGGCGACATTGTAAACTTGACAGTGTTTGACAACGGGGGGGAGGGGGGGAAAGGGTATTCCCCTTCTTTATCACTTTAAAAATAAATATAATGAACTCATTTTTGTCAGCCGAACTGAAACAGTATTGAAGCACATTTTGTCTCGTTAGCAAGCACTGGTCCTGATGTTTCGGTTTTTGGATTGTTATGATATTTCACTAATAACTCTACACAAGAAGGCACTTATTACTATATTTTAAGCGCAGGGTCTTTCGAGCCTGCCACTCCAGGCACTGATATGGGAGGAGTTACTATTTTTTATGTTGAGAGAGGGAGGGTATATATTAAAAATTCAGCATTGTCTATCCAACCTAATTACCACCCTCTAAATTTATGAAACCATGCCCCTTAAAATGAGAAGCCGGGGGAGAGAGCCGTCCTGAGTGCGGAGCCATCCGGGGGGGCGAAGTTGCAGGCTTTTGACTTTATGTAATTAGCTAGTTACTTCAGCACTTATACTATGCTTTCCATCTCACCCAAGATGTAAATAAGGGGGCAAGTTCTGACATTCTTGAGAAACCCCCCCCCCCCCCCTCAAAAAAAATACTTGAGCGCCTAATACCAATGACTGCTTATTATCTAGATCCTAGAACCTCGTTCAATCGTCCAGGCGATGCCTATTGATTGACATTCAGTCTTTTTAAAATCGTAGCAGGTCCATACATTTCACTTTCTGTCTGTACAGTGTCTCGTTCGCATTGTAATTGAAATGGCAGTAGCTCATTATGGATCAATGGGGACCTGTGCAGGGCTTCTTCAGAGTGAATGTGTGAAAACGTAACTTTAAAAAACCGGATGCACTCTGTCAACTTGAGAAAAAAATTTGGTCCAATAACGCTCCGTGCATAATCGTTGCGTAACAGTTTCGAATATTCTCCTTTGAAATCCTTTGCACGCGAGATGCTAAATGAAAATGCCATCGTTCGTATATGCAAATTAGCCCTGAGGGGAAGCCCCTGCATTATCACAGCCTTAGTTGATAAAAACAACTGATAAGAGTAATGACGTTTCTATGCGGTATTATTACTGACACGCAACGTTCGGCTAGCTGTCGAAAATGTCGAGTCCACATTACCGGGACGGTGTTTCTAGAATTGTTGGCTTAACAATGTTGACAACGGGGGTTATGAATTTTGCGTCGCGCCACCCACAGAGAAATTTTAGCCAGAAATTTTCGAAGGGGGGGAAGGGGGGGTCTAAAATTTGTAATTGCCAAGTTAGACAGTAACAGCTAGCCGGTTCTGGGGTCTTAAGCTGTGGAAAATGTAGAGTGCAAGGCAGCCCACCGGGACAGTGTTTCTGGAATTGTTGGCTTAACTATGTGACAGAGTCTTTATAAAATTTTGCGTCGCGCCCACCACCAAGGGGCGTAGTAGGAAATTTACAAAGGGGGG